TTACTACAGTTAAAACGTTAGGCTTAGGCGCACTTAAACAACTTTTAAATTTTTGATAATTCTACAACTAATTGCGGGAATGTTACCTAAAGGCATAAAAACCTTGACCGGAAGATAAGAAGAACCTAATTCAATCATTTTCAAGGCAAAAATGTACAATTTACTAACATTTAAGAATAAAAACAAACTAAGCTCAATGAGCCGAGTAACGGAGTGGGTATATATATATATACACTTTTGGTGCTGCCGATTGCCGCCAAAAAGGGAGGTGCACAAGTAAATGCTATAGCAGTCTTATATGCAAAATTTCATTGTTCTGAGGCTATTCGTTTTTGAGTTATGCGAGATACATACATACATACGTACGTATAAACAGACGCCTTGAAAAAATCTCTTCCAAGTCCATTTTAAATTAGTTTTGTAATTCTTTTTGGGAAAAAGAGTTCTTTATTCTGTCTTTACGTACATATGCCACGCGAAAACATCGTTAAATTGCATTCGGTAGGGGTCAAAATTGATATTTTTGTTGAAATATGGTACTTGGAATTTTTCGTGATTACAATACTTCGTACAAGGACAAGAACAAGGACGTAATTCGTACAAGGACGTAAGTAAAGTTACGAAAATCTGATGTGACCTGCATATAACCTTCCGCCATTTTAATCAATGGATTTGGCGGAGCAACAACGAATTTAGGAACGAAGACAGAAGTCAGTCTGGTTTAAAAGCTCCAAGAGAATAAACTAAAGTGGAAAGCACTCAGTTCGTTTAGTGCAGGAAATAATTATTTCTAGCTATTGTTGTGAGTTAACGGTTCTTATTGGATCTTTCATACAAGCAGACGAACAATAAGAAAAACGAGATTCATTTGCATTTTCAAAGCCATTACGCTTAAAACATTCGGGGGGGGGGAGTAACGAAATTTAACTTCAGTAGTGATGAAGATGAAGCAACAGGAGGAAATGGTATGAATTTAGTTCGAAAAGCACTCTGAAATTTAACAACGTTGAAACGTTAAAAACACATAAATTTATAATTCCAAAATAGAAGTAAATTGTCAAGAATTTCCATTGAGCTAAAAAGCTTTTACTGATTCCTACTTTGCATTATTTTCAGACTGACTATTTTAAGGACCTGTCAGACTCAGAGACAGTTGAAGAAACACTAGCCAGGCACAACTCTTCCTGAAACTCATTCTTGTGGAGTTAGCTGGAAAAATTACTTTCTGACGCAGCATTTTATTTGTAGATCCAACATTTTGATCATATCATGGTATTGGTTATAATTCAATCAGTCTCAAAGAAGGAAGAAAACGACTTGGTATCCTTTGCGGCTAATGTGAATTATTTGATTTTCACTTGGCATTCAGATCAAGTTACCAATTAAAGAGTGTAGCCTACCCTCATGAGTAGAATTCTAGGGCATGTTAGAAATGTCTGAGATTTGCTGATAGGCCTTTTATTGGCTGGCTCACTATTTTACCAATGGACTCCTCCTCTAATTTTTACTTAATTTTGACTAAGACCATTTTATAACTTTCCTTAGAGGAGAAGAGGATTTCTGGAACTTTCTTATAATTTTGTTTACAATGAGTATTATACCCAAAACATTGTCTGACCTACAATCAGGCCAAGCCTGATTTATGTCTATCGGGGGCCACAGCCTTGAACACCATGCAGGTGACAGTGCGATTTAGCTCAGTTGAGCCACCAATTTTGATGTAGAGCACCTTGTGGGGGGGGACGTGTCCGGGGGTCTCCCACCCCTCTTTCCCTACCACTAACCTCTCGAGAGGACTTTCAGCTCGCCGCATATTTAGAGTGTCCCCATGCCGTACGGACACTATACATTTACAAACTCCAAGCCTTCCCTGCGATTCGAACCCGGGCCTTTCAGCAGAGCAGTCAGCGGCGCTAACCACTATACCGGTGGGGCGGCGCAACACATATGTACACGATGTAGTCAAACAACGTTCGAATAGAAATCGTAAAACTGTTGTTACATCAGATATCAAATTCTTCAATATTTCAAATACAACTTTTCGTGGAGTTGAAGTTCAAAGCATTCGTTAAAACAGAATGCGATTATTGCAGTTTTAGTTGATTTGTATCATCAGTAACACCTCATGGTAGCTCTAGGTGCCATACTTCTAATTTTAGTGAGAAAATATAAGGTTAAAGTGTAGAGACATTAGGTATTTTGAAAGCAGGAGTGATGAAAAATGAGTAACGCCCTCGCCGGGAATCGAACCACAGACCTCTGGAATACGCGCCCAGCGTATAGACCACTACAATGCTAAGACTGCGGGAGAAATACCTTATAAGCGTTTCTCTATGTAATTCTTGAAATAATTCACAGCCTGTTTGTTCTACGCTTGCTTTGATTTTATGAGATTCTAGGAAAACATAAAAAACCTGAATATACACACCTTTTGCGGGGTGGGGAGAGAGGAATGAAATTTGATTGAAAAGGTGAATTATGAAGATTCAACAGCTTTAGTTTTCTTCAATTACTAAATTTCATGAGAGTAATATTAATAATTCTTGATAACAAAAATAACATACACCAAAACTATAGTAGCCAAAAAGTAAATGCGTGAATATGTAATTAATGCATATTTTTTTTTTCTCTTGGAAAAAGTACGTTCACCGTTTTATAGGTAAAAAAGTATAGGATTTTTATGGTAGTATAATGAACAACAGCCGAGAGTCGGAAACTGATATTTCAATCCAAATTCTGCTTTTCATGGCTTGAAAAAATTCTTTCATGGCTTTTCATGGCATTTTTTCTGCTTTTCATGGCTGAATTGGATTTTCGCGTTATCCTTGTGTAAAGGACCGGACCTATTCAGACCCTGTTGAAATAACTCTCAATCTGTCGTAACTATATCTAGAGTTCTAGTTACATAGTAAAGAGATTACGGTCTTCGATTAGTAGTTTGAAAGCAGAAATTCGTCCACTCACATTATTGAAATTAGGTTCCGATTATCTTCTGCTTCCTTTTAATTGGATGAACTAAACATAACACTACTCTAACAGCAACATTTTAGATTGGCAAATCAATGCAGTCCTCTCACTAATTCTACAGGGTGGCCGGAAAGTCCCTTTATACCTTAACTAATGCGTGTAACAGTCTAAGATCGTAATATATTTAAGATTTGGAATTTTCCATCCTGATCATTGAAGTGGCAACAGTGTTCCTCACGTATTTTTAACTTGATTGCCGGACGACTGCCCGTGGAGTAGAATAAAGTCTGTGCGTTGAACCAGTTCATAGTCTCTACGTTTGGGGAAGTATAATGGCTGAACAGCGACTTCACTTTGGAGGGGCGCGCTTCGGAAACACAACAACGAAAATATAACACAATGATGGAAAGGTATCGTGAACGATTCGTCAAGGGGCCACCAAGTCATCAGACTTTGATCGTATGGGAGAAGACGGGGATGACTGATGAACACAGCTTTTTGGTCTGTACTTCATTGAGGTTCCACGACCCAGGTTACTTAACTGGAGATGCTGAATGACTGACTGCTTCCTTAACTTCAAAATGTGGGCTTCAAGAACACGGTTCTTTACCAACACGATGGAGCTGCTAGCCACTTCGCACTTGCTGTTCGTGAAGGCCTGAATCAACTGCCAGTGAACAGACGTGAGTCCCGAAATTTACCAGCCCTTAATCCTTGGCCGCATTGAGGTCTGAACCTTATAACACCAATGTCTTGCGGGGATCATCAAATTATGCGTCAGGAAGAAGCGGTACATGGACAATGATGATGGGCGGGCAAGTATGCTTGAAACCTTCCAGCATGTGAGACAGCTGCTAAAGCGGATGAAAAGAAGGACTTTAGGCATATCAAGATGTGCAGGGATAATGGTGATGCACATACGAACATTTTGGATAAGTAACTGTAAGTATTCTTAAAGTTACAATGATATAATTGCACATGTAAATGGACTTTCTGGCCACTTTGTGCAAAAACACGTTTTTAGGAGATATTTTGGGTGACTCGAATTGGTGTCTTAAATCTTACCATAAATGCGAGGCACAATATCTTAAGTAAATGGCGATCGCGTGTTGGTCTGTTACTCATCCCGTACGCTTTTTCTTAGCCGCTCTAAATCTTTTAAAAGGCAACCTATAAGAAAAATGACGAAAGCTATCAGTAAAAAATGGTGAAATCATACCAACTAAGGACTGAAAGAGAATGATTTCACCAATTTTCTTTCATTATGACAAAGAATCAAGATCCTTAAATTTTGGAAATTACCTTTTTCATGAGTTTTAGTTTATTTATTTTTTCTTTTTTTAATGTCAGCTTTACCTAAGAGCAATTTTACCTGCGAATAGTTCTGCAATTTAATCGTAGTAGGAAGATGTGGCAACAGATGACAGCATCTGACAAAATTGATTAGGGCAGTGTCACTACTCAATAACTAAATCATGAATAAAACTGTTTATAGTCAGAGCTTGATTGCTAGTTAGGATTCTACCAGTTTTTCTAGATTTTGGGAGATTTATTATCATTCTATGAACACTTATAATCTGTTTTATTTTCATGGAAAACAAAAGAAATAGGTATAGAAAGCCAGAGCCGGATTTAGACTCGATAGGGCCGTAAGCTATTTGAGATAGGGGGCCTTTATAAGTCTGTTATAGTATATTTAAATTTTTGGGGCCCCCTAAAATGTGGAGACCCTTAGCTATACCTTGTGTAGCTTATACATATCCTGCACTGTAGAAAGCTTTGAAAAAAAGAATGTTGTGCTTTAAACATGATGATTATATCTCACTTACATTGTAATTTTAAAAAAAAAATTCTTTATTTCAAAATTCTATCAACTGTTTATTCTTCGCGTATTTACTCAAAATATCTTGTATTAATCTAGTCCTTAAATTATTTATTTTAATATAATATGTAGCCTGCAGATGGCGCCACAAAACAGAGAAAAAATTTCTTTTTGCCGCACTTGTTTAATAAAACAAAACTAGTCGGGCAGATGTTTGTTTTTAATTTTTGGACTAGGGCTTTTACGTACGATATTCTAGCATAGGCGTGTGCCATGAATAAGAGAGTGGGGGTAGTTACCTAGTTCTCAGCCCTCATCATTTGAGCTCTTGCGATTCTTAATTTGACGTATGCAGTTTCGTTTTCATTCAGTATTATTCAAATCTATGGTGAGTCATGTTCGACTAATATAAATACTTAATTTCGTTATATTTTTTAATAATGTCGATCTACATGTGCTACCATGGTTAATATTGATTTAATGAATACATGTGGATGTTTGATTTTTTTATATTATCCCCATAAAACTGCCGCTAATAATATATCAGAGAAAATTGTGCGTTGAAAATGCTTTCGTATGTATCATTTTTCTAATTCTCATGAGTACTTGAATGTGATTTGATATTTTACGTTAGAGATGTAATATTTCAAAATATTAACTCAGAAAAAAAAAAAAAAAAAAAAAAAAAAAAAAAGAAAGAAAATTTTGCCGTAATAATTGAAATTTATGCAGTTAACATATGCATATTTTATTCTTTGGAAGAACTTGTTATTACACCACAGCATAACATAGTATTTATTTTTTTTACAGAATGGTTCGTAACTTGTTGCGTATTGTTTCGAATATTGTAGCAATTACAACAAAATAATATCGTTTTTACTGCCACTCACTGATTTCGTATTTATATAAAAAATTAACTACGTCAATTTAACTTTACTATTGTCAGCATATTTAAAACTGTAGTACTACTGTTTGTTAAGTTATTCTATATCGAATAAAATTAGTAAAAACTTTTCTTAAAAATATATTATTAAAAGGCTATTGGGGATACATTATCGAATCAGAAAGAAATTCCAAACCTTTTTTCCCCAAAAAAGAATAGAGAAAAAGGAAAAAATGCTTATCAATTTATAAAGTTTCTTTAATATGCAAAGAAAAATTTTGTACGAAGAAATACTTGTTAGGTTATTACATTCTTTGTTGTGAAACTAAGAAATTTTTAATTACAGCTACCAGCCTTCAGATGCCAAATTAAAATTAAAACATATACTACATGTATTTTATACTGTTTAAAAAAGTTATTATATTAGTATTGTAAGTATCATGATTAAGTACCAGAATAAAAAATGTCCACCATGATCTGTTTATATTGTCTGACAGTGTATATAAAATTAGTAAATGCTGTTAAAATTGTTAATTCATTCTAGGCCCATGCAAAATGGCAGAGTTCACTGGCAGTGAGTTCAAAGATGAGTCCCTTGAAAATAAGAATGCTATTTCTTCTCCTCAGGTATAGTTTCCATCAGGGGAAGGGATCTACTTTTACAGCTTTGTAATTATTCCTAACTATATTTTTTCTTTCTGTAATACTTATTACGTCTGTTATACGTATTTAAATTGATTCTCTTCCCTTTATTTTAAGCTGTATTAACCCACAAGATTTGGAATAAAACTATTCCTTTAATACTATTAGTATGAATGTGGGCTGTATCTAGTAAAAATTTAAAATATCTTCTTTAATGGAAGTAATATCTATATATCACAAAAACAGTGTTATAAAGGTTGTAAAACAGTATACTTATTTTATTTAATTCTTAGAAATTTTTTGTTTATTCTTATTGCAAGTCTTATTGCAGAAAAGTTCTTTTCTATCTTATTTTAATTTAGCTCTTACACATTTGTTATTTATTCTAATTATGTTCTTTTCCATATGTTATGATTTATCTAAGCACATCTGCATTTTTCATTCTGTTCATTCATACCATATAGATTTTAGATTTTATTAGGTTACTGTGTTACTGAAGAGAAAAAAAAAAAAAAAAAAAAAAAAAAAAAAAAAACACTTTTATCTGAAGTTAAATATAATACTATTGTAATATTAATTGTATATCTATCAATAATCAATAATATTAATTATATATTTGATAAGACAATATTGTGAATAGCAAATATATAAGACGTAAATGTGAATAAATTAATATATACTACCTCTTAAGTGATATATATATATTAATATTTTAAATTTAGCATTAAGCTGAAATATAAAAACGTTGAACCTTAAGATAAACCAATATATTTTTATGGAGCAAATTGCTACATTTGAATAATAGGAATTAGTACAGCTTAAAATGTTGTTTTGATAGGGAAAGTGATCTTGTTTTGTCTGTAGGTATAATTATAGATATTCTTGTTTATTTTTTCAAAGCCAGGTATTTTATTGTACTTGTGGGCAATATTTGCTTTTGCATTCATTGAACAGAACAAAGTTATACGAATGAAAAATCAAAATTATGCCGATGCTAAAAAGTTATGCTGATACTGTTTAGATGTTCCTCAATGTTTTGTATTTCATTGTTTCGCAGACATGTGCTTAGAAGTAAAATTTTCCAGAAATCCATACATTGGGCAAAGCATTGCAATTTCATGAAATCTGTCCATAGCAGTCCAAGCCTGCAGCTTCTGTTGCTTTTGATAGATTTTTTTATGACAAATACAATTTAGAAAGAAATTAAGTTTAATGGTTAAATTTGTGTGTTTAGTGTAACGTTAAAAAATGTAATTAGCTTAAAAGCCTGTTTGTTTTTGATATTATTTAAATATGTTTAAATCAGAATATCCATTCTGTCTAGTAATGACAAACTGCTTTATAAGACTGTATGCATTACTTATCAATATGTGCCATGTCTGAAATGAATAAATTTGATTGTTTGATATATATCTATCAGAAAATAAAATTTAGCTGGTAATAAAAAGTAAAGTAATGAATCTTGTGAGAAAGAATTCAGTTAAATTAAAATAGTTATTTTAGACAATATTGAAATGAATGTAAAATGAAAAAAAATTTCCTACTTTGTTCTTTATGAGCATACTTTAAATTTTTTACAGGCAATCTTGTATGCCAAATATGCTTTGTACTTCAAATGTTTATTTACTCTGACCATATTCATTACTGCTTTTATTGTCACTTTTGAGCTCACATTTCATTTGCATTATATTTTGTTGGTGAAATTGTTAAGCATTATTTAGTTTTTAAATTTTTTATTCCTTATCTTTTTCTCTTGCTAATTCTATATTGTTTATACCTTGTTGCAGCATAATTACGTATTGATATTATTTTGAAACATTATTTAGATTGGTATTTTCTTCATCTACTTGGTAATATATTGAATTAAATTGAGTTTATTAATTTGGTTTCTGAAATCGAAGAATCGAAATTTCACTGTAGTAGAAAAAGAAGATGGAACAGGATCAGATATCATTAATTATTAATGATTATATCAACAAAAGACTAATACCTTTTAAAAAGTGAGCCTTTTTTCCCATAAAATCATCAACAATTAATTTAAAGTTTTTCATAAGGAATATTTAACTGAAAATAAACTTCTATTGTTAGTATAATTTTCTAATTATAATCGTTTTTATTACTGTTTCCAGGGAGATAATCTCGGTAGTTAATATGCATGTGTATATTCCCAGTTTTGTATTATTTTGAAACTGCATAATTAATTTGAAATCTGAGCTTCTCATCTAAAATTTAAAACTGACCCACATGAATCTCATTAAAACTAGATTTGTCTCACCTGCTGTATGTGATGAAATTGTGTGAGAGGTTATTTGCTCAGTTTATTGTTTTTGACACTATTTAAACACGGTGTGTGTTTATGAACAGAAGGTAATGATGGTAACTATTTCTGTAATGAAACTTTTCATTTTTTTTTTCCTTCCAAGACTAAGCAAAAAGATTTAAAGAAATGTTGTTGCATATGTTAACAGTTTGGAAAAGCACATTTCAAAGTAAAATAACTTAATGCTGCATGGTAAAGATTATAGGTTTCTGGATGGGATCGAAAGTGTTTACAAAATCTTCTTGCAGTTGTTGATGATTATCACGGTCAGTCTGAAAATAATCTCCATAAATGATTTCCTGGTGAATAGCAAAACACAATTAGAAAATAAATAGGAAACTTGTGCAACATTGTGGTTTTCCTGAGAAAATGAAGGCACATTGTAATTCAGTATACATCTCTTATGTCTCAATGCCCTTACACCAACAGGAAACCATCTGTTGGAATGAAGAAGGAAAAATATTCTTTCTATTCATCTATTCATGCAGTACAGACTGGATATTGCCCTCAGAATGTATTTAGGATCCAACAAGTACTCTTTCATGCACCCAGAAAGATGAAAATCAAAATAGTTCTTGGTTTTGGAAATAATGAGGATGTGGCTGTACTCGAACTTCAAATCTTGCGATGGCATGATGTTGTATGAGGCCTGGGATAGTCTAACTGGAGATGGATGTGTTTGGATATGTGACTTCCATTGTATGCTGCAGATAGCTGAGCTCATGGAAATTTTCTGTCACAAGGACTTCTGCTGAAATTCATAGTTTGGTTAGCACATTGTGTGGTTAGCACATTTGGTATAAGAATTCTCTATCTTATACCAAAACTTAGCATCATGTTTCCTATAGATGACTGCATATATGCATTTCCTTTGGCTTTGGGGAAATGTAAATGGAACTTTAGCAAAGAGTTGTGATTATTCATTGATGTGAAATGCTTCCACTAGTAAAAGACTTATATAAAAACATATTTTTTCTTCACATTCATATCTGTCTAGAAGTATATGATTTTATTTTACCTCTGTTGTGCAAATCTGAGGTATCCACTTTGCACACTTTTTGGCAGCTCAGCCATTACAAATGACATACACTAATTTATGATTCATGTTTATTGTTGTAACCATTTCAGTGACAGTAACACATTCTTCCAGATAACAGTTCTGAGTAGTTTTAGTTTTATCAGGAATCGCAGATTTGTGTGAGCAGAGTGGCCGGATTGAAGAGCATTTCAAAGCTTATGACCTCATTTTTGGAATTTTTCTACAAATTAAGCACGTAGATTCATGATATACAATTCTTATCGTAAAACACTGAAGCAGTGAATCTTAGTGGATTAAACCAAGATTCATGATGAGATTTTCTGCATTAACATTAAAATTACTTTAAACCTTATGCATACAAAATTCATTTATCCTGCATAATTATATTTCAGTATAATTGGAACTTGACTTGGTTTAACCTTTATGTTTGACATTTAACATACAATTGCCTTCTCAGTGGCAAATGCCAAACTGTTACAAAACCATCCTTAATAACTATTTTACATTAAACTTGTAACTTATATATATATAAAAAAAAGGTTTGAGTGTATTTTGTCAAATGAGAATAAATTTATAAATGTATGAAGCTTTTCTGAATGTCATAAACTGCAAATACTTCTTGACACACATTGTGGGATGTTGCAGTACTTCAGTGTAATGCAAAGCCCACAGTTGTGACATATTTGTTCATCATTAACCACTTATTGCATATTTTTTTTATTATCAGGTTGCTAAGCGGCCCGACTTAAAGCCAGCCCCAATCTTGTCCAGTGCTGACTCCATCCGTGGCAGAACAAGTTCCTTAACACATCCTGATAGTTCTTTACACTTACCTCAAAGACAACAATACATGTATAGTTCACCATATCATGCCCCTTTAATAGAAGAATCCTCTCCTTTACACAGAGATCATGTAATACATGAATCTGACAGGCCAGGAACTCCAGCTCTGGGTGAATGTGGTGACTTGATAATTGATGGTGCACCACAGCTGCAGTATGGTAATCCATCAGACGATGTACATAGATATGCAGATGGTTCTCGCTATCAACAGCGTTATAATCACCACTTGGATAGAGCCTTTCCTGGTAAGTTTATATTTATTTACAGTCATTATATTTTTATTCAATATCATGAACAGTATAATGTTTATTGGAGAAGTCAAACAACAAGAACCAGCATTATATTTGTAAATTTTGCAGGACTGGTTTAAATGGTTTAATAACAGAACCTCTTCCTCAGCTGCAAAAGTGCAAGTTAACGTAATAAGGTATGGTGATAAGATAAAAATAGCTGGAAAGGAGTCAAGCTACTGGTGCCATCTATTGATGAAACAAGAAAACTGAAATGTAACTTCCATAAGTCTGAAGGTGAAGATAAATTGGAATTAGAGTCATTAACTAGAACAGAAAGATTTCTTTTTTTAATGTGAAACTTTTTAATGTTTCTAATTTACCAATGGAAGATGTTTTTAAATAATTTTGGCTGCAGACAAATGGAAAATGGGATTTTTAGACCAACAGTGCTGGGCAATAGAGGACTTACATACTTCCTTTTTCCTAACATATGCCTCATATGCTTTAATTTGGAATTTTAAGGCTCTCTTTAGTGTGACCAATGTAAATTAAACCACATTGGCAAGGAAATCATGTAAATACCCCAGGAATTCATATGCAGAATGGGGTCCTTACGTGTACAACTAGAAATTTTATTGATAGGAGAATAAATGACCTGAAAGTTAAATTTCTGTAAAATATGTGCAATTTTATAGATAATCAATGGAAAGAAAGGAATATCAGCAGAATTCTTATATTTTCCTATTAATAAAATTCCTAGTTACATACTTAAAGCCCCCATTCCAGATATGAATTGCTGGGGTATTTACAAGATTGCTTGCCAATGTGGTTTAACTTACATTGGTCAAACTAAGAGAGCTGTAAAATTTTGCATTAAAGAACACGAGGCATATGTTAAAAAAAAGGAAACACGTAAGTCCTTTGTTGCTTAGTGCTCTTGGCCCAAAAATCACACTTTCCTTTTTTTTTTTTTTTTTTTTTCTTCAGCCAAAATTATTCAGAAAACATCTTCCATTGGTGAATTAGATTTTGAGGCATTTCACATTCAAAAAATCTTTCTATTCTAGTGAAAGACCCTAATTCCAATGCGTCTTTACCTTAACCATTTCAGGAAATTATGTTTTAGTTTCCTTGTTTCATCATTAAGTTTATATATAGCATCATTCTAATATAGGCATTTTGAGACAAAATCAGACTTTTTCTGAAATGACATGCTAATTATTTTCCATATTTTGATTCTATGACTCAAATTATGCCTAAATATTAAATTTTGTAAAATTTGGTGTGAAATTTACGAAGAAAATCAAAAATTTATCTTGGCGCATTTTTTTCATTTTTTACACCAAGAATAATTTACTTGGCGAATTTCTTAATTTATAACAACCTAGTTTCCCTTGCTTTTTTTCTTTGTAGACAAGCTTGTCCAGTTGGGAAAATTGTTACCCATAGCACGACATTAGTTAAGCTGTTTTCACAATTTAAATGTTGATCAACTCAGAATTACAAGATCTTTAACTTTACACAGGTTAAAAACGTTTACAAATATAATACCTGGCCCCAAATTCAATTATCAAAAAGTATATACCAAAATTATTACATGAAATACAGCAAATTAATAAATAAAATCAATACATAACATTATAAAATGGCACAAAAAATGCAATCAAATAAACACAAAATTTACAGCAATATGATGTTCGTGAGATATTGCAAAGCCAAGTTCATATAAGTAGTGCAACACATTGTTCAGAATGTAGCTTTAACAGAAGATGTAACAAATTTTCGTTATGTAATAAGTTTTTGCTCTGAAAAAGAATAAAGTAAATGATAACAATAACAACATTTTAATAAGTAGATGAAAAACTCATAGTATTTGTCATATACATTCCAAGTACCTTATTAAAAACCGAGCTAATCGCATAGGACATTTTTCTTCATGTAATCGAAATGTACAGTGTGGAGTATTACAATCTGTTGGTGATTAATAAAATTAAAATCTATGAATATTAGAATAGTGCAGAGTCCTGCACAAATGGGCAGCTCCCTTCATAGCTTTAGACCACTGCGTAAAAGTATCGACCATGTACCCTACAGTATATTGGGGTTGCTCATCTAAATCAGTGGTCTACAAACTGTGTTCCATGGAACCTGAGGTTCCAATACTCGGACACTGGCATTCCTCAATATTTAAAAAATAAAATTGGAAAATAAAATTATAAAGGACTCGCGCTAGCTGACTAGTGTCTATTAATTAACTAAAAATAGGATGCTACATTTAGTTATCCTTTAAAATGAGTCAGAAGCTTGGAACTGTGGGCTGCCGACATGTGTAACTCAACGTCAATAGTGACATTCTTGCTGAATACCCAGTTTTTCACACAGCTATAAGCATTTTAATGTCATCGAAATAAGGTATTTAAGTGATAAATCTTTATGAATGTACTTGGCAACAAAAACAAAATAAAGAAATTAAATGCAGATTATGAAATGTGATTGTAGGTAACATCAATACAGCTAGACTTTCACAATTTATGTAATATAATGCAAGTACACCTCAGTCATTAAAATAATGCACGGATATGTAAGATCCGGAGCATGAGTTTTAAGAGTAAATTATATTAATTTTATGTTACATTTTTTTTTAATAAAAAGTACAATACTTAAATGGACTTTATATAAAGTACCTACTACAACATATTGGTCAATTTTAAATATTATTTTAAGATATATTTTTCTAAGGGTATGACGGGGTTTCCTGTAAAAAACCTAGAAACCTCATAATTCTAGTCTCATCCTCATAGTTTTTCTCGAGTCAATAAAGTTTGAGACCACTGGTCTAAATGAAAGATCTACAATCTGTGCCTCTAATCTGACATCATCTTCTAAGAAACTGCTTGAATTTCTTTTGAGAGTATTTTTCTTGGAGCCAGGGTATATGTGTCCTTGTATTTTGTAATGCGAAGTGTTGTAATCGCAAAATTTTCGGATATCATATTTCAATCAAAATATCCATTTTGACAGCTCTCAAATCCATTTAAAAGATGTTTTTCTGTGATATCTATACGTATGGACAGAATAAAGGACTCTTTTTTTTTTTTCCAAACCAGATTGTAAAATGGATTCAAACGAATTTTTTTGTGACGTCTGTACATACGTTACATACTCAAATTTATATAACTCGTATAACTCAAAAGCCGTAGAGCATTGAAATTTTGTATATGGGACCCTATATCTATATATATTTATATATATGCATGAGTTTGGTGTGGCCGATTGCGACGAAAAAGGGAGGTGCACAAGTAGGTGTTATAGCATTCTCATTTACAAAATTTACTAACATATAAGAATAAAAAAACTGAACTTATTGAGCCATTTAACACAATGAGAATATATATTTAATTGTGCATGTTTTGCTTTAAAAATGATTGAATTATCATATTCTAATGTTCTGGTTAAGGTTTTTATGCCTTTAGTTAGTTAATCTGCATGCAATAGTTATAAAATTTTCAGCAGTTTAAAAGTTTAAGTGGCGCTAGGCCCACTTAAACTTTATGATGCCGCTATTTGTTTACACTTGAAACTCTTAGTGGAAAAGCGAATTAATTCCTTTGCTGCACCAACATCAGAGTCTTTTTGCCTAGAAGACCTAAAGTTAACTTTCAGTTTTGAGGACCGAAACTTTGGTCTTCCGGCCCGCCTTCTGGAAGACAAAATTTTCTTTCAAATTGTACTTTTAATTGTAATTTTATTTAAACATCATCTTGGTGTTTTATGTTTTTCTGTATTTTACAATTTTTAATGATGATGTTTTGAGTTTTTATGTATTTTTGCCTTGCCGATCTCTAATCAAATTTGTGGAAATATATTTAGATGAAGTGATGGAAAAAATGTGTGTAATTTAATAATTCGCATAAGGATGTCATGTGGTATCTACATCAGATATTTTACATTTAGAGTTACATATTTTAATAAGGGCTTGGCATATAAATTTATTTGTTTTTATTTCTTCAGGAAAGTATGAGGAACCTGTAAGCATCCTTCAAATATTTAGAGTAAAACTCTTTTTTTAGTGATAGGTTTTTTTTTAATGGCCTTTTGTTGAGGGTTCATGTATATCATTCTGTGTCTTTTAAAGGGGTGCATTATTTGCTTGAAAGACATAACCTTATCTAAGACTTCTGGAGCTGTTGGACACTAACTACTTCTTAGTCAAAGAGTATAAGGAAAGGATATTCTGAGAATGAACTAATAAGTGATGCCTTTGCATTTTCATAAGCATGCTTGGAGTTTGCTAGAAAGATGGATTGCAGGTAACTAGTGGGGGTCGCAAATAACTTTGAGTTGAGAACAATTTCAAAGATGAATATAATTCTGATATAAAAGTATGCCCGTTCTTGTGAAGAGTATGCATAACCTTTCTAATTACAGGTTTTATGCATATTTATAAATATATGCATGCACCATGTCCACAAAAGACCGTTATTTTCGCAACTGTCGGTCGTAGACTTATTTTCCATTATAAAATATTTTAAATGATTTGGTATGTCTGACATCATTTTCAAATTGCCTCGGATAGTCGATTAATGAATAAATTACCATAAATCAAGGTTGATTTTTCCTTTTAATTCCCATCAGTAATATTCTTTTGTCCTTACTAGTGTATAGTATTCTTTCACTCATATTTTTGTATTTTTGTTACAATCGGTGTGCTGGAAAAAAGAACCAAAAACCCAGCTTAAACTAGTTTCTAACATAACTGCAGCTGAACGCTATACTCACTAGTAAAACAAACAGCACAGAGACAGGTGTAGTCTGAGATGCAGCGCTCTTGTTTTAAGTTGCGAATACTCTCTCACTTAACTCATATTCTCGCTTGCTATTTAAACTCACTTAATTAGCATTTCTGGTGAAATTGACGGTAAGCAAGAGACCAGAAAGATTTAACTTACGAAGTAATATGTTTTTTAAAGCAAACCTCGGAAGCTTTAATTAGAAGCTTTTAATAATGAGTA